CACTGTACTGCTGGAACAAAATACACACTCTGTCATATCTGTTACAAAACATTTAGAGCACATACTGTGCACGAACAGCTGGATTAAAAAAAATAAACATTTGAACTTTGTACATGGTACAGAATGTTTGAATGGACCTCAACCCTTAGCAGGGCTTCATCCAAGGGCCAGGTTACAGATTTCTGCTATAAAAATGGATCAGAACATGCAAGTGAAATCTTTATAGCTTTAAACATTGACTCTAAATGTCTAAATTAGCTTTAATTAGCTTAAGGTGGATGATGTGAGTGAGTTTAATTACAATGAGTTTGAGGATCCTAAAGCTCATCAGCTCACACAGAAGGTTTTGTATTCTGAGGTGTAACATTTCTATCAAAGGATTAAATTTAACTGTGGCTCTTGGCTTGATGAATTGCAAGGAGCAAAAGAAAATTTCCAGCTGTAACCACTCACATTAAAAGCTAAATGTGTCCCAGAAGTACCAGTGTTTTGGGAAGGGCATTTGACTGACTTCATACTGAACACGTTACGTCCCCACAAATGGCATCTTAAGTGCCTCTGAATAGTCGCTTCTCTGAGGACCTGTGAAACAACACTTTATTCAGTCCATTTAAATAACATGAGTAAAAACGTGTAAAAATATTGATTTCTAGCTAGGAAACACTGCTGCGCCAAAGCTTGCTTAATACAGCAGCTCCTCAGTTGTACATTTCTATTGCCCTTCTCTTCCTCTCTCAGGAAGATTCCACTTAGCAAAGATTTTGGTGCAGCATGAGGACTGCAAGCTATGCAGGGATGTAGGCTTGTGAATGGGCCAGCCAGACTTCCTGTGACCTCTGAGGCTTAAAGCGGAGGAAATGCAACCCTTCGTCCTTTAGTCCCACCCCATCGGCCCATCTGAGGGCCGTCACCAATGATTAGAGTCCAGCGTGGGGAGATTACAGCCTATTAGCACAGAGACGGATGACCAGTAGTAACCTCACTACCGCACTCTATTTAAAGACATCCTACTCTGCATTCTCTTGTTCTTCTCTTATTGTTTAAGTTTCCTTCACTCACTTCAATGCACTCCATCTGTTTTTTTTTTTTTTGCTATTTTAACCTCCAATGCTTAATCAGCCTTGCACAGCACCTAGTCTCTCACTCTTTTCTTAACCACTCATTCTTATCGCTGTGTGCCATTCCTCTACATAGAACACACTCAAGGAGTCTAACCACAACTTCTTCCTGTCACTGCCTCTAAGGCATAATTGTACAGACACCGTTACACCCAGTGAAACAGCCATTTCCTCTTTCTGTAGTGAAACACAGCACAACAGGTAATTGCAGTTATCATTCATGAAATAAAATCAGATACTGATACAAGCTGCAGAGGAAAGAAGTACTAGGGATGAATTAAGCAGGAAGGACTGTTAATATATATATATAATAATATATATATATGTATAACAAAGGTTCACCAGTGTAAAGCAAAAGTAAAAAGAGACATACAGAGCAAGCAAAAGCTAGAGAGATCTAAACTGTCATTGCATTGCAGAAGGGTTAAAGCAGCTGTGGTCTAGGCAGTGGCACTTACAAAGGCGTCGGAGGCAGCCAGGAAGCCGGTGAGGTGTGATGTGTGTCTGTGTATATGTGTATGTGTATGTGTGTGTGGTGTGTCAAGGGTCCTCAGGCGAATATCACATCGCCCTGTGCAAACTAGTGATTACCTTCCCATTGCCGCTGGCCAGATTAAGCTGAGGCAAGCAAGGGGAAGGCAGCGAGATGCGTTTTGGCCTAGTTTGGGCCTGGCTGGCCTCCGTATCACACCACCCTCAGCTCGACAGACGTTGCGCTCTCTCACCACACCCACCCACCCCTCCCTCCCTCCACCACTCTCTCTCTTTCTCTCTCTCTGACACCCTCCCCCTACTTAAACATGCAGCGCTCATCTTCTCCTTTGCTAAATGCTACACACTCTGGCACAGTGACAGACAATATACATACAGGTGTAGGCACACATATGGAAATAAACACTTATGTTTTAACAAATTTAAACAAATTACACACAACAACACTAAATGAAGCTGCTTCCACTTTGATTTGACTATCAAAGTGAGAGTGGAGGTAGGCCTGTAAATGTCAGTCTGACTTTTGTTTTTCATGGACGAAATATGATTTATGGGTAGAAAAGGCACGGAAAAACAATTTCTTTTTGCTATATTAATCTGATATATTTGTATGATTAATGCAGATGTCAGTGTTCAATTATTTGGTTCACAGTTCAAGCTGAAAGTGAAAACCAATTAAACCACTTACATTTTTTCACTACTGTACGTATGCATCCGGTCACGGGGCCTTTGTAGGCAACTTTTATAAGGATGTGAGAGTCAAAACGGCTTAAAACCACCAGGCTAACAGTAACATATTACTACTTCTTCCACTGATCATTTTTGAGGAATGAGGAAATTATGAAATCAAACGTATTAAACAAGGCTTCCTGAAGGATTTTTTCCCCCACAGGGCCCCATTATATCAGTAGTAAACCTGTGAAGATTGGATTTTTTTTATCTGGAGCAGGACTATAAACAAAAATCAACATTGTGCATGGTGCATTACTCTGAAGACGGATCTGTAAGAGAACTACTTGAGCACGTGATTGGCACACAGACCTGGTTCAGCACTTTAGGTTGAGCCATTACTGCCCAGCATCCCACAATATGAGGAAGAGGATACACTGAATGCTGAAACAGCAAAAAGTCACTCAGGGGGAAAGCTGCCATTTGGATCTGAGAGCACCCAGACTGGCTGATATTATTGATTACACCAGGGTTGAGACTTTAGAGTGAGTGTAAAGTAGATCATACGCTGGCGTAAGATTGTTGCAGAATACAGACATGTAACTGTACGAGAATTGGTTTTGGAACTTCATAAGTCCTCACACTAGTGCAAGTGCATAATGACAGACATTTATAACACAGCAGGCAACACTCAGCTCAATTCGGTCGTATTGTGCGGTCATGCAGTGTGTCTTTAATTTGCAATTTCACAATCCCTTTGACTCTCCTTCCGTCTTGTTACACTCTCTATTCAATACCATCCAAAAAGTGGTTTGAATGACAAAAAGGCAACATGTCACTTAAGAGTCATTCAGTTACAAGTCATTATTCCTCTCCTGGTCACGGGCCTTGTGTCATGTTAATGTTAAGGAGTTTACATCCTTGAACACTGAAACATCATTGGTTGTTTTTCTGACAAAGGGTGGGGCGATTTTGATTAAATATTGAGGAGGGAAAAAGAATAGGTTTACAAGCTGTGTAGGGCTGCACTATATAGTAATTAAAATCAATTATTTATATTGAGGAGCAGCAGGGTGTTGTGGTGATGTGATGACAGGTTAAAGGTGTCATGAATCTCCCCCAAGGGGCCCTTTTCAGCTTCACTGTTTGTTTTTTATTTTTTTATTTTGTCTGTTTGAAACCGTTTTTTGGGTTCAGTTCCGATTGGCTGCGTAAGTGATTAAACATACAGCACCTGCAACCCTGTAACAGCAGATTTTAATATTAATGCACCAACCAAAATCCAAACTGTTACTGGTTGTTCGTCACTAAGCAACCATGCAGTGCAGCTGCTGCTGAAGACCTATACTCTTTGGCGACGGGTTAAATAATTACACCCAGGCCTATTTATCATTCCAACTAAGGCTTACATGTAATCTACCACCGCGATCCATTAAAAGAAATCCCCCACTAAACATTTACACTGTTTTATTTCATAACACATTGCGTAAAAGCAATAACCCTCCGCGACGTGCAGCACGCCTCTAATCTGGTCTGTAACACTACTGTGAACACATTTTGAAAGGATTATATCTTTTTAAAATCTCCTTGCGTATACATAAAGACGACTAGAGGTCAACGATCGTGTCTCTGAACCGATTCGATGCCCCTAAACCCCGCTCTGTAAACCGGGGTGGGGGTGGTGTCGGTAGGAGCGGGTGAGCAAGCTGAGCTCTCTAGTTTGCCGGTAGGCCGCAGGATTTTCAGCACCCCTCTCTCCTGGACAGCTCCGTCCAATCAGCTGCAGTCATTTCAAGCGCGTCACCCTTCCTCATCCTCATCATCCTCCCCTCCCTCCATCACTGAGACATGGCGGAGGACATCACAGACAAAAAAAGAAGCTGAGTTTCACACCCGGCTTCTTGACAAACTAACGTGTTGTATTTGAAATAAAAGCATGATAGAGGGATGGTTGTACAGCCTCGTTGTGGAGGAAACATGAGCCACACCGGAGAGGTCGTGAAAGACAGGCTGTTCCCTAATAGGGGTTTTTTTTTTAATGACGTGTGTCCGGTTTCTACGCACAATGTCACACGACCTTAGCAGCTGGCCGGTCTCAAATGCACACGTTTTATCCCGTTTGGCTTAAAGTGGGATCAGTCCTTTCATTAAGTGTTGGATTCTCAACATAAAACACACAACTTCGACACGAAAATAAAGGAAACCAGTGATGTGCAGAATGACCCACATGCATTCAGCCGCATGGCAGCATGTCCAACCCCACTGTACCCGATTAAAGGTAAAGCCAACCTGGAAGCATCCCTCGATGTTGCTCTAATAAACTGCCGGAGCAGAAAGAAATGCAAGCACTGTGGTTGCAGCTAGAGCCTGTTAAACTGAGATGCTACACGTTTGCATTGAGGTTGGGCTCATACACGTGTTGTCTGGGGAGGGGGGTAAAAAATATAAAAATAAAATATCACCGGCGTCACTGGCTTGCAGGTGAAGCGCCAACTGCAGCAGTAAAGCATGATTAAACCCTCGACGGAAATACGCGGTGTAAAAACAACAGAAATGCCACAGCTCTCGATGAATGAAAAAGCCGGCAGTGAATGACACACAATGCGCCTCAGCCTCTTCGACAGGTGCATCGCCCTGTAGCCACAGCCCTGAGACGCAAAAATATATAAATATATAATCATCAAAGCGAATGAGAAACACGAACAGAGGTTTAAAACTCACCTAATATAATCCAGAGCGACCCAGAGACCAAAACGAATGCGAGCATGTCTTTCTCATTGAGTCAGCGGTCCCGGTGCAGGAGCGGCTCAAAACTGCAGCATCGACTGCAGCAAGTCGCCGACAATCTGGGAGATTAAGGAGGGGGTGGGGTGGGGTGGGGGGGGCGACAATATATCTGAGACAGACCTCAGTGGGGGATCTGGGCAGGGGGATGGCGATGTCCAGCAGGTTTCACTGGAGAACGGACCGTGCTGAATGAAGAAACAGACCCCAACGGCCTACTGAAGCATCCTTCCTCCTTCACCTAGTTGGCTGCTGCGCAATGGCAGACACCCCTGCTGAAATAAAAAGGTTTATAGGTCGGACAGGAAGATGCGATCGACGCCAAGGTTACCGGGGATGACATTTCTATTCTGGATGCAAACGGATTAACCAAATCTTCATTTAATGCTCGTATTTATTGTAAATTGTGAAATTTGGTGAAGCTTGTTCCTAAAAGCTATGAATTGGTGCACGTAAATGATCCTTTTCTATAATATAAAACGAATCAATATTATTTTAAGTACAGCTCGCATCCGGGTATTTTCGTGTGTTTTAAACGTTATAAATATGTGTTTTATATCAAAAGGAAGCTGTGTTATTTTTAGCCCATGGTACATCACACCATGCCGGCTTGACGTCCCTGCAGCTGAGCACAGCTTTGAGTAACTTTGCATCAGGATCACGTGGTACAATAAGACACTCCCAATGAACTAAAGTAACCTTGAGAGGGACTGACAAAGTGACAGAGGCAGTGTGAGTGATAGCATGGATGAGAACGAGAGAGGACATAAAAAATATCTGAATTTTACATTCAATTTAAAATGATTGTTTATTTTGGTTTATTTGCGCATTAGGGAGATCACTGTTTGACCCACTGGCACTTCCGTGGTTACATCCAAAGTGATTTTTTATCTCAAGTACCTTCAGACTGATGATTTTAGTCTTGACTGGCTTTTATTTGACCTGTCTGTGAGGGGCTAATGAATCTAATTAAACAACATTTCATCCAGTAACTCTAATAATTTGAAGAAAAACATTTTTTATATAGGGAATTCTGAATATTATGGCACCTTTAATGCCTCATGCCCCATTTTGAGTGCAGCAACAGGCACATGAATATGAATATTTCAAATTAAAAGCATGCAATGAACCATATCTATCTAGTATGTGTCCTATAAATTCACTCATCTGACTTACAAGTGTCTCCATGTGGCTGACATGCTTGTTGTCTTATTGTGCTGCTGTCATTTGACTGACCTTATTAAATGGGTGATTTGTCAGGACCTCTAATCTGTCTCTTCCAGCAGTGCCTCCCGTCACTTTCGCGTTCTTCTTATTTTTCTTCTCCAATCCCACTGCAGTGAATACACACAAGACAGAGGCAAAGAATGATTGGGTGTACTGAGACAAACTGCCAAACTGTTCATTGATGAAGGAGGAGGGAAATGGTGAAACAGATATACAAGGAGGAGAAATAATCAAATTACAAGCTGTCTTTCTATTTCAATGTAGGTTGTAAATCTTAACTGAGTTACCTGTGATCTTGCCAGCTGGAACATCAGGAGAGTGAATGTGGTTTAGGTGGGAGCATTGATTACTCAGTTTATTTATTTTGCAATGTGATCAAAGTACACACAAGACAAATAAAAATCTGCTGAGTAAGAAAACTAAAAAACAGGTCATTATGTAAAACACTTAAAGAATCTTAAATGTTATCATATTTCGACAGATATGTGAGGTTGGGGTTACGGTCAGGGGTCAAAAGGGATAAATAACTTTCCATATTCCTTTTCTGACAGGATGGTAATAAATTGAGGATTCCTTATGTTTCAAGGTGAAAATGTCATTTTCTTACATAACGCATGGCTTAACTGGCTTATAGTCCTTGTCCAGTAAACACCTATGGCTATATTTTATGAGTTAATGAATTATGTTTGATTTTAGTTTTAATTTTATGATGTATAAATTAATCTACAGGTCACAAGTCACACAAAATGCACTAAAAACATGAACATGCCTGTCTGTTGCCAGGGTTTGGTTTGTCCCTTCTGAGCTACTGTAGAAACATAGTGGTTCAACATGGCAAACAGCACTCGTATGGTAGAATAAAATCTGTGATTTTTATCAAAAAAATGTAATACTGAGAAGACATAAATTAGTAATTTGCCTTAGAGTGGCTTAGGGAAGTAGTCAGATATTTTCCATTAGTAAAAATAGCAATACCTGAGTGTAGAAATACTAAATAAAGAAATAATATAAATTTCTAAAAGCAAAAGTCATGCTTTTACTTGTCAAGTTAAATTTTACTACATCAAAAATAGTGCTAAAAGTACTCATTATACAGAATGGACAATATCATCATGTACAGTATATTATATTATTGGATTATAATTATTGATGCATGAATGTGTAATCATCACTTTAATATTGCTGCTGGTAAAGTTTGAGCTATTTTAAGCCACTTTATATACTGCTGGGCAGCTTTTGAATTTCCATAAAGTCTTAACAGTTTATGTTATCTCAACCTATAATATTACAGCTGAACATTTACATGTTACATACATTTTCTATGTATATAAATCTGAATCTGCAAAGTAACTAGTAACTAAAGTTATCAAATAAATATATTGGAACACAGCATTTATACTTATGTATCAACTGCACGATAATACAATTGTCTGATCCCTTATGATAATTTACTTGGCAGTATAAGATGGCAGACTCCATGAAAGGCCACCTGTGGCATCTGTAGACAAAAAAAAACTCATTCTAAGGTAATGAAAACATAATGATTCCTATATTCAGGTGATTATACACCAATGAAAATATATCTATGTTACATACATGACCTTTATATATATACAAAACAGATGTCCACCAGTGTAGAAATGACAAATAACCTGAGTTATATATCTGTGTTAAGACCTGTTGAAGGCAAGAGATTAAAATATAGTGGTGGCATAAAAGTAACATAATTTAATAGATTGTGCTTAAATCTACAAGACAGATTGACATGTGTCTCTGGTTCCTGTATCTTACCATACGTTTCAACAATGTTTTACAGCCCTAAAGGTACAAAACAGTGACCAGGAGCATGACATCACTTTGACCCAGATATTTATTTGCTATCTCTGTTCCCGCTCCAACATGGGTTTAATTAGTAACCACATACCAACTTAGAGAACTAACTTACTTCCCTGTAATGCTAATGCTTTTCACAGTGTGAGCTTAGTTTATTTTAGGGCTACGGCATACAGTTTGATGAGCAGTCTGAGGTTGGGGAGTATCCAACAAGTCTCAGACTAACAGAAGTTACACAGAGTTGAAGCAGAAGAGGGCACCGGTGTTGTAGTCTCCTAAATTGTAGTCTCCTAAATTGACTTGGTTTAGTTTAGTTTCCTCTGTCGTGAAACAACATGTGGACACACTTAAAATAGTCACCAAAAAACACCCCTAACAACAAACAAGAAGAAACACAGATGAAACCAGCAAGAAACATGAATGTTATGATTCACATCCTATGAGCCCCCGAAACCTTGTGCACTGAGAAAAACATGAGAAGGAAACCGAGTTACTCTCTCAGTATGTTTGTGATGATGAGAAACAAAAGCTGCCTGGAGAACAGCACCGTTACCTGTTTGCATGTTATGTCATGTTATGTTACAGCCACTCTCATGTTTGTTCTCATGTTCTGATGGAAAGACCGTAGGTTTACTCAGAATCCATAAACACATCTTTTACAGCAATCTTTAGGCACTGGGGTTAAACTTAAACTCACTCCCTTTTTAGGCATCTTACCAACTTATTACAGTCTAGTACGGTTAGTCAAATACTGCACTTAAGGACACTTGTTCCTGAGTATATATACAATCCAGAGTAAGATATTGTACTTTTTTCTCACTATATTTAATCTAGTAAAAAAAATCATAAGCTTATTAAATAATAATAATAATAATAATAATAATAATAATAATAATAATAATAATAATAATAATTTCAGACATCTATGAGTTGTTTGCAGTTCCACTGTCACACTGTTTCAATTAAATTTGACAATTTGAAAACTATTTGGGGTCCTAAGAGGTAAACACTTTTTCACAAAAAAGGAAAAAAAATCAGAAAAGTCTGAGAAATGAATTTAAATGTATGCAGCACAACTTTTTTTATTCTTTCTTTTTAAAAATATGTTTTGGGGGATTTTATTGCCTTTAATCGATAGTGACAAGAGTGAAGGGGCCAAGACAACATGCATTTATAATATCATTTATTATATCAGAGTTACTACTTTTACTTTTAAAACTTAAAGTAAATTGAATTGAGAAAACAGCTATACTTTTATCAATAGCACCGTTTTAAATGAAAAACTTTGACTCTTGATGGAATATTTTTACATTGTGGAATTGTTTTTTTTTTCACTTAAGAAAAGAAACTGAAAACTATTTCCACCACTGCTTATTATTACTTTTAAAAAAGTTTCCACTGCAACAGCTCAGACAAAACTAGTCTGCGCTTGATGGATTTATTGGATGGTGCAGTGAGTCACTTGTGGAACTGTTTCACACACAGTACACTTATTGGGCTGAGGGTGGTGCTAAACTTTAAAGTCACTTGAGAAAAACCTTGAAACCTGCAGTGATGATGTAATTTGCGTGTGACTGGGCTGAGGGGTGTCTGTCTCAAAAGTGGAAACGTGACATGTCAATTCATGTCTGTTAACTGCATGCATACATCATTGAATTTGTTGCAATAATATATTTGTAGCACTCTTTTCACATCCTTTGTTTATCTTGTGCCTCTGTTTTCCACTGTTAATTCTTCTCCCTCTCATCTTCTCTCTCCACCAGAATCACAATAACAGAAAAAGAAAAAGAAAAACAGAAAAAAGTCAAAGGTTAAGGAAATGCTATGCCAATTTAAAATGATGGGGCAAAAATAGATTGATTGATTTGAGAGGACTGAGTTTTCAGTTGTCTTTTTTTTTTACTAGTAATGCTTTATTAGCCTATATGTTTTCCTACAAAATGTTTCAAGATATGTATTTGGTAATAATTTAAGGGAAAATAGAGATAGTGTTCAATTAGTACACATAGTTTTTTCCAGGACTTCTTGGAAATCATTAGAAAATGATTACAAATCCGTAAAATAAAGCAATACATTTTTTACTTTACCAAATGACTGTGTGTCAGACAGATATTTCTTGTGTGAGAAAAGAACGAGAAGAAAACAAAAACGGAGGCCAAGGAGGAACCAAAATGTCAACTGATGACAGTTCAACAAAAAAAACGAAAAAAAAACCAACCCTGTGTGGTTTGACTTATAAATATGCACACAAAACAACCTCAGAACTTAAACAGTGATGGTAAGGCCTGCAGTACCCAGAAATAGAAGACAAGTTAAAACAAATTGAAACCTTTGGGCAACAAACTGGTAAAAAGCCAGTATGCAACACTAATGTGTTATGATTCAGCACAATTGGCCCATTAAAATTTGCCCTAAAATTCAGATCAAATAGGGTAAGACATGTTATCTGAAGAAAGTAGATGTTGCGGTGCAATTGCAGGCTAACTAAGGAGGGCTTTGACTTGATCCAGTGTTAGTGAACTGTTAAAGCAGATGGTCCAGGGGGAGATTGGATGCTCAAGCTGCTTGCCTCGCTCCAAAGCCTCAAATTACTGACTTATCCTTGCAGGTAGCCTAAATAATCAGAATTACCATCACTGTATGGACAGGGTGTAATAAATACACAGGCAATTGTCACAGTGGGTGTGAAAACAAGATTAGGATGTAAATAAAGAGGATTTGGGTTGAAAGCTTTACAGACCTAAATGTTTTGATTTGAGAATGCACAAGATTATGATAACAGGTTCATCACAACAAAGCTCTAAAACTTCTATAACACAGCGGTTCCCAACCTCTTTGGCTTATGGTCCCTTAAAATGATATGTATAAGTCCATTGTAATATTTTTAAAGGCCTACAAGGCAAAAATTCACACAATTTTGTATAAAAGAGATATATATTTTAAATTCTCCTATCCGATTAATCATCTTGGGACCCCTCAGATTTATTTTGGGGGTCCCTACTTGCACGTTGGGGACCACTACTATGAGCTTATCCTCCTTCACAAGCCTTTGTAAATCATTTATTTTCAATCATCAATCAATCTGATCTGAGAACAACCCCTACACAGCTCCATGTGTTTTCCCGTCAGCACAACCCAGTGAATTCCTCAATTCTCTCTCTCTCTCTCTCTCTCTCTCTCTCTCTCTCTCTCCCATCCTGCATTAACTCATCGGCAACTCATTGGAACAAAACAACAAGCATAGCTCAGAAAAATCGGGATGATTTTCCCCTGCAAATCCAGATTCGTGCCTTCATCGGGAAATCCCACGCACCGACTGCCGGTGAAAACTCCGCAGGAAAACTCCCCGCTATTCCCTCCCAAGACGCGCGCTCGAGCCTCACCTCGCGAGCACGAGCGCAAACACACACGCGGGAAGCCCCTAGATGGACAGCACCGGTGGCTGTCACAGCGCTGGTGTGGGGTTTCCCAAATACTCCACGGGTGGCCAGAGAGCTATAGTGTGAGCATGTCCGTGCCGTTATGTAACATTTCATAGGAGCTGTGAAACTGCAAGAACTGAGAAAACCGAGCACCGAATTTAAGAATATATCATGGCATAATAAAATAGTTCAGTAGCTCATGTCGTGCCATTCCCCTTTGCAGTTTTGTGCACACATTGTTGTGTTTCTTTGGGAGATACTGCCACAGATATGACGGATAATGCGTGTTAAAAAAGCTCGGCAGCCCTGTCCTGTTGAGCCCAAACAGCTGCTGCTTCCGCGCCGTTTACAACTGCTCCTCAACCGCTGTCATCCTCGCTGTACGGCTCCATAGTACTGTACGCCGTGAGAAAGCCTGTACCACACTGCCTCTACCGGTGGCTGAAATTACTACATCATTTCTTGTAAATGCCTGACTTCTCAGTTGAACTGCTGTTTATACTAAAGGGCTGGTCCCGGCAGATGTTTATCATACCAGGCTGTGGGGTCAGTGGATGAATGCGTGTGGGTGTGTGTGGGTGTGCGTGCGTGCGTGTGCAGGTGGTTCAAGATAGGAATTAGGCTCTTTATTATGTTTTTATATTATGCATATTCTCTAATAAGGTACCATTTGCTTACACTACAGTTTGATATCACAGATTCTATCACTTCTACTACTAAACATTAAAGTTATTATTATTAATATTACTATAGTCAAACCTATATTCTGCACATGATACAATCCAATACCTAATTGATATATACATCATGAATATAATAATAAAACCAGAGTCATTTCATTCTTTGTGTAAATATCACAGTCAGATAAAGTTTGCAGTGTGTGACCATGCCTGCAAATTCAACTTTTAATAAGTGGGTCTGCAGAATTGTCACGTGCAAGATATATAAAAAACACGAAAGTGACAGATTTTGGGATCGGAACCCGGTACTGCCTACGTGCAAGAAGCCGCCGTAATCAACCCGTGTTGTTATTAACTTCCTCCTTGCATTCAACAACGTGATTTCTCGGAAACGGCAACTGCTGGACTGTGGGAACTGCGGCGCATGCGTCCACACGCTGTAAAAGATATCTATCTTCACTTAACTTAATTTTAGCATTTGATCCAGGAGCGTCTACAGATGTCATTTAGAAAATATACAGGAGGGAATAAAGTGCAAATCTGCAGGGGTTAAATCAGCTGTTTACAGTGCAAGTCACTTTAGTTGTAGGATTTTTATTTTGTGGTGTAAACTGGTGTTAACTGCAGTGATCTGTGTTTCTACTCATATTCACGATATGCACACTTAATTTAAGAAAAAACATGATATGCATGATCTTGCAATGGTAAAAATCTGTTAAGTGGTAATTATATAGTAAAAATGTTTCAACATGCTCTTTGAAAAACAGGATTCTTAGTCAACATGTTTTAACTTTTGTTTTCCTTGTGGGCATTTTTTTACAGTGGGCATACATCATCGCCCAGCCGGGGAAAACCCATTGGACCCTATAAAATGCGCATAGATGTCTGTGAGTCTTCAGTGCCACTTCTGATGATCTAGATAGGTGTCCAAGTGGATAATACAAAGACGAAGAGAACCTTCTTTGGAACAAACTTAAACTAATCGGACTTTTCTTGTGCATTTTCCTCTTTACGGATCTTACAACAAGCAAATTCTGTAAGTGATTTGATATTCATTTATCACTTCTACTATCATGGAATGCCTCATATTTAAACATTTTATTTTGCCGGGAGCTGCTTAGGATATATATATATATATCGTAAATCTTGAATACATGTACAGGAGGATACATTTATTTGTAGCTTCTAACATGAAACAAAATAATGTAACCAGCTGATGCTTTTAATTTTTTTGGACAGTAAAGTTTATGTAATTATTGCACACCATGCGTGCAGTAGGACTCTAATTTCTCGACAGATCAGTTCAACAGGGGACTATGTGACTTTTTTGAACTTAGGTGTATCGCATGCATGCAGCAGTGGAGGAGGAGGCGTGTGCTCTCTCCGCGCACTACTATAAATGTCACCCGCGGGAATAGGATCATGTTGCACGAAGAGTTTTGGATTGCAAATAGCAGTCCATGTGCATTTTAAAACTTTTATGATGATAAAGCCATAAAAGTGAAGTCCGGGAATGATTTTTGGTTCATTTTGACCTTCATAAGTAACGCTTACTCCTACGCGTAAACGCCCCCGATCCCCGGTCAGCCTACGTGCCCTGGCCGTGAACTCTTCTCACCCTCCTCCTGCAGGCAGCAGGCAGCAGTAAATCTTAACTGACGCGGGAGTTCATTTGCTCTCACAACTGTATATCACGCACAGCATTCCTCATTTATCTAAAGACTTACTCCTTTTCCTCTCTTCCTGCATATCTTAGGCAAACATGCCTGTGTCAAGGATGAGGATGAGACCATGGCTGGAGAAGATGATCGATTCAAACGCCATCACGGGTCTGAATTGGGTGGATAAGGTGAGAGGCATATTTCAACAAATTTGATTGGTTCATGTAAAGTTACTGAAGTGAAGTCAGTATATTTAATACTTACAGAGATAGATATTTAGAAATATAATTGTGAAACAACTTATATATACATATTACTTTTAGAGTAGTTTGTTTGAAGTTGGGATAAATGTTGGAGTTAATATTTTAAACCAACACTAGACACCAAAACAAAACCTTATTTTGTGTGTGTGTTACTACTGTGGCTGCTGATACTGTACTATGCAAATAATATTTTTACATAATTTTTGGCAATGCAATAGAAAACTGTTAACAGTGGCCGGCTCAGTTTGAATGGCAGCCTCTTGCAATATATCACAATTTTTCTATGTCTTTGTTCCTTACAGGATAAGACGATGTTCTCAATTCCCTGGAAGCATGCAGCTCGACATGGCTGGGAGATGGAGAAGGACGCATGTCTGTTCAAAAAGTGGGCCATCCACACAGGTGAGCCAGCATGAACACACACCTAAACTATGCAAATAATAACGCAGAATATTTTTGTTTTTATGGATGAAAAAGGTGTGAAACTAAACAAAATGCATCCTGCAGGGAAATATGTGGAAGGTCAGACCAGTGACCCAAAGACATGGAAAGCCAACTTCCGCTGTGCAATGAACTCACTGCCTGACATCGAGGAGGTGAAAGACAAGAGCATCAATAAAGGCCACCAAGCCATGCGCGTCTTCAGGATGTTGCCTGCCACCCCAAAATCTAGAGGTGAGAAAACTGACAGGAAGTGAGCAAGCATTCTTAAAAAAAAAGAATTAACGTTGTTCTGCAGCATCTTTCAGTTCCTGATGTTTTTTTTTCTTTTTCTGTTACTCCGTTTGTTTTGCAATCACGCCATGAGCCGTTTAAGATGCATTAAGTAATCAAAATGTCTTTCTTTCACCTGCACAGATAAACGAAACAAATCAAAGGACACAAAGCCAAGGAAGAAGGTAAATACAGTACATTTTTTATGACTATTCTACTTTTATATTGACTTAAGTGAAATTTATTGGTTACATAGTCAGAGGCCTATTCAAATAATGTCATGCTCACACTGACCCAGATCATTTTAATGGCACTGGTGCAGTAGCTAGACATATGACTGCAAATTTTGCTGTGGTTTTTTCCTAAATCTCACAGAATGTTAATTTATTTCTGTCTCTGCAGAGCTCAATTGTCAAGATGGAGGACGACATGGACAGTCAGACTCCCATGGATGAGTCAGCGCCAGAAGAAACTTTGTCCACTCAGGAGAACACAGTCGACAGCACAGTGAACACAGAGCCGCAAGGTGAGGAAGAAAATATGTATAGTTGAAGATTTTAGGTTACTGCATGTAGGAAATGTTGCCTTGAATTTGCCCCTTAAAACTGGAGCACCAAGTTTATTAATGCTATTGTTTGCCATCTTTGCAGAATTCATGTTTGTGGCTCCATCTGAGTTCCTGACTGGCCAGTTGACATCGAGCCTGAGAGCTATAGCAACAACAACTTCCACCAAAGATTTGAAGTTTCTCCTGACCACAGCCCTGGTACGACAACAACACATATTGCATACTTGCTAAATAAATGCTTTAGGACCAAGTGAAATTAAGTAAATTCAAACAGACATAGCAATATCACAATGCCATACTCATGTATTTCCTTTCTCTCCCATTCTATTTGCTGTGATCTTCCAGATTACGACTCTGCCAACGACGAGATTATTCAGGTAAGCATTGTCTTTGGTTCCTACTCTTAACAGCATGCATTTTTCATTGGAAGGAATACCCATGTTTGTCTTATTCTGCCTGTTCGGCTTGTGTAATAATACCCCAAACAATAAGATTGATTATTATAGACTGTTTGGAGTTGGAAAACTCCAGTTGTGCAAACGATTATAGCCATACTGAGTCCAGTGTTGCTCTTTCAGATTTGCCAGCAACTGGAGAAAGACTCATTCTTGCTGTCAAGCAGTTTAGACTGCAAGGGGTTCCTGAGCAATGAAGCATGCACCAGTCCAGGAAGCCAGTGGAGTGAATCTTCCTCAGGTAAATGTTGCTAGTTGATAGTTCAGATGTCTCAAAATTAATCTGCAACATAATGTCTTAAGACACTCCATGTTGGTAATTTAAGTGTAAAATCTAGGTGTAAATGTAGCTATAGTTGAAATTAGCATGTAAGTCAGTATAGATCTATGTCCTAAACACTATTAAACATGTCTGTCTCTGCATGTAGATAATGTACTGGTGTGTAAAGGATATTGCCTTTATAGAGTATTCATTCCAAAATTTTTGAAGTTGAGTAAAGTCAAGTAAAGCAGCTCTAACTATTAAAGAGCTACTCCAGTGCAATAGTATTTTACTTTAATAAAGTTAAACAACTCACAAGAGACAGGTTTACAAAAGAGGGGTCAACATGAATGCAGCAGAGGCTGGGGTATCATGGCAGGTAGCATGTTTTATTAGACTCTGTCAGCCTGATAAATGTCCACATCAAAGTCCAAGTTCATAACACAAACCGAGTCTTGAGACAACCCTAATTACATAACAATGACATCGTGAAAGGTATTTGCTCTCTCATTTTTAAGACTCCCCCCTTGAAATTTGTCTATTGTTGAGGTGTTTCATTTTTCAGGTTAGCAATACATGTTCTTCATTACCATCCTGACCTTGTATTTCCTCTGTTTGTTTTGCAGATGAAATAGACGACATGCCACCTCAGTACCTTACTTTGGGCACAGAGTTCCAAAATCCCACAGACAACCTCTGGAACAGCTTTTACCAACAGATCCCCTCAGTCCTGTACTGAAAGCTTCAGGACAGGACAGTGCAGTGACACTTTGGACTTTTAAAAGGGCTCTTCCTGCCCACAATTCTTCCCATCTGACATCTCTTCTCATCCATTATCATCCCTCCAGTCTGTGATGGCCCGGGTTCCAAACATTAAGCTAAACCCCCCCCGTACCATATGGTCCGACGTTCTGAGACCTTTCCTCATCTCCTTAAACCTTTCTGTGAAGTTATGAAGAGAAGCTATGAAGTGCGCTGCCTTGTTAGAGGAACTTACATGCTTTTCATTCTCTATGTTTTTGGCTGGTTCAAGACATGTTGGTGCTCAGTTTTTTGTGACAATGAGTTGCAATAGCACATAAATCTGTTTTGCTCAGGCAGTCCATGAAGATATACTCATACTAAGCCATGAATACATATGAGGTAGCCAATACTTCAAAATGCAAATTGGATTATATTTAGTGTGCTCAACATTTTGCATCATTGTTAATGTTTAGTATCATCCCATAAAATATATATTTTTTTCTCCGTTATGTGCAAAAGTTATTTTACTTTAAGGGATAAAAATGCATCGTAAACCTCTTCTGGTGAAAGCTCTACTTCAAAGTCATACGTTTATAAGACAATTGTAAATTACTGTATATAGTGTTTTGTTTGTGTGTTTTTTATAAAAGAAATAAAAAATCTAAATGTGAATGAATATGACTCTTTCTTATTAAAACAAAGGGGTTTAAGTTTTTAGTGAGCAGATATAAATAACTTACAGTGCTCTGTTGTAATGAAATCAATAACATTTACTGGGTGTATGAGCAAGGATAACCCCTGAAACTGAAGTGTCCTTCAGTAAGGCCCTGAACTAAAGTCAGCCTTAGCAGCACCGATATGTAAACTGACCCCTGCTCTGACCAACAGATTTCCCTCCAGTGGCAAATTAAAGGGCGTAATGGAAAAAGTCAAATTATCTGAGTCCAAGTCTTCACAACATACCGTACATGATTATTTGAATAACCAAGTGCAAAAATCATCACACAGCAATCAGTACTACTTATTTACAGTTTTTTCCACAAAAAAATTGGTTATGACCTAAGTTATCAAACTGCGGGTAGAGGTGGGTGGTTTTACATGACAGATATCATGTTAAGAGATCAAATGGTCTGTTTGACCTAGAATATATTTGTCTGAACATCACAGCAAATGTCTTTTATCCTCACTGAAGTGTAGTGACAGCCCTGTGCAAAATCTGTGTCAAATAGGGAATGCTGCTCAGGGAAGGAAGTGATCATTATGTGTTATTTTAACTGGGGAGAGAAGTCGGGTGAAAAGGCACTGAAATAAGTCACACATAAATTTGATGTCCCACAGGTGGTAAAAAAGGCCTACAAGGATAACATAATCTAAAACTCAAACCTGATCTGGTATTCAGCAACAAAAGTTGCAACCACACCGTTTTTAATGCCACGAAACCCTACACACTAGACCTTTAATGGTGATAGACAGAGACTAATGAACATGTCCTGCAAAAACTTCTTTGTTATTCTCAGGTGAAGCCAAGGGATAATTTAAAAAAGCTAATAAGATTAAAGCATAAAAAATACAACAAAGCAGCTAGAGACTAGAGACAGTGGCTCCCTGATTTAACAGTAACATGAATCAAACTGCATCTCTAAATCCCTGACCCGTAGAAATCTAAACCTTTTTTCTCCCTGATGGAGATCTCTAAATCTAAAATTGATACAATTCTGTACTCTCTTAAAAATCCTCCTGCTCCTGCATCCCACTCACGCTTTTCTGTAAGAGCTTCTTAACTGTGGGACATCCTTCTGTCTGAAAGAGTAAACTGTGCCACTCACCATACAAAGACAAGTCTCAAAACCTGTCTTTTGTAAAGTCAGACATGTGAACATCTATAATCTACAAAATACATTGCTAATTTTATTATTATTGTAGATAAACTTGCTGCTAAGTTGTGCCATGTCCTTTGTCAGCTTAGCATGGTTGTGTATGGCATATTTTTTGTACTTCCTGAACAATGTGGTAAGACCTTCTATAGATGTGTCTTGCAACTCTGTGCTGCATGGCTTATGCAACTGCACCTTTTAACATTTTATCAAGTGAAACATTGTGATTATTGTTTTTTTTTAATTGCTTATTGCTGCTTTTCATGTCTGCATGTGTCCAAATGGTTATAATCATATTGCTTGGCTGTGGATCTTGGATGTTGTTGCTGTATTATTGTGCTAATGTTTTGCTGTTTCCTATTGTTCTGAATTGATTGTGCACTGTCTTGAGAATATTTATTTTGTTGCTGTTGCTGTTGTGGTGTCTTCATGTAAATTTGAATCACTGGTGTCAAAGAATCCAACCAAAGGACTGCAGTTGAAAATTAGTCAGTTTGCTAATATTTGCAACATTTACAGTAATGTTGATTACTGAGCGTTGTCCTTATACAAAAGAAGAAAGAAAAGAGAATAGGAGTTGTACACCTGGCCTGATACTGCAATAAATAATGCCAATGCTTAACATGTTACATCATTTATTTTTTCCTTCTTCATCTCGGGTTCCCCAATAATTCCCACAAAACTTGAGGAAATAGTGCCATTGCGGAACATACTTCTCACATACTCTAAATCACAATAAATAGGGAAAAAGGGTGTGAGGAATTACACCTGGATTGGTTTGATAAAGGTGTCTGCATGTTTGTTGGCAACTGTCACTTTCTGCTGGCAGAACACGCTGAGATTCTTTAAATTCATCACAATGCTCTTTTCAGGTTTGTCAAGGTGTTTTCTACTGACTGTAAGTTGTATGAGTCAACTTGTTAATCCATGTGAAAGATGGAAATGTGATGATAAGCCGATGAGCTGATAAATCTTTTCAAACAAAGAAACAGTTTTAAAGCCTGCATTAATTGTTGTGTGTGTGACTTGGAGATACTATCATACTACATTTGCTGTGTGTCTCATCTCTTTCAATAAAAGCTTCATTGTAGGGATTTACGCTGCTTGCTAGTTCAGTACTTTGTAAACACTAGACTGTCTGTTATTACAACTGCAACCTCTTGTTTGACACGTGAACTGGAGAAATACTGGAATCAGCCAATAAAACACCCATCATGTGTAAGTTTTTAATTGATCCCCAGGTACCTTAAAATCCCAAATTCTCAGAGCACATGATTTCAGAGCATTTTACATTGGGTAGAGCCATGATAACAGTAGGCTAACACTCATTCATTTCTACAGTGTAGTGCTGCCACATTTTATTTCCTGCAAAGAATATTATGTTATAAATAACTTTTTATTCTTTAAAAATGATATACTGTGGTGGTGTTGTTCCTTTAAGGCAACTCTGTACAGAAAAACTTGCTTTGGATGTCAAACAACAAGGGACTGACTGGACTGATTTTAAAGCAGTAATTGTCTTAAGCATTTACAAGGCAGGTTGTGGATTCATAAGGCCCCTTTACTGATGTTTACTGAAACAAAGAGTTGAAGTGTGCATTAATGTGGGTATCAACAACATGAATTTGGTAGAATAGGCTGAACCGTCTCTCCTCAGTCTGTTGTGGTTAAACGCCTGAATAAATGACCTGCAGCTGCTGCTGCCATTATCAGGCTGCTATAAAGTATAAAACTGCCCAACCAGTTTGACAGGCTGATGCATGGACACAAACACACACACACACACACACAATTGCAAATTTAGTTTTTTTATTTGCTGAAGGTCAAGCAGGTGTTCTTTATCACTCAAAGACATAGGAGGAGTGCAGACCTCCAATTATAAAACATATACGATGCGAAAATGAACAAACAAAAAAGCGTCTTTAGTAGAGCATTCTATAGTTTGATCATAACATATATAGAATAGTGGCACAGGATATACTTCATTAAGTGAAAGAGCCTTTGGGATCTATCATGCATATATATCATCAAACCATAAATTCCAACATAAAGCAATATTTTATTGTCATAAAAACACTAGATATACATGGTAGTGGGATTTCTCGCTTTGACATTTGCCTTTATGTGAACATATATTAACTTTACTCACTAACTGGCTAAATAACAAGTGAATCAATAACAGATCCAACTGCGGTTAGTTTTATACTATGCTACTGTACGTTAAACAGTGCATATAACAAATGTACATGACTAACCCCTTTTTATTCACTTTACAACAAGTGATCACGTCTTTGAATGAAAAAAGATTTGATGAATTAATTCAGTGAATACATAAAATCTATATCATGTAGATATATACATTTACTGACTGTTTATGAGCTCATGTCCTGAGTTTGGTAAACTGGATAAACCAAGAAAAAACAGACGTGAAACTGTATACATACCGACTTCAGACCTCATTTTGACCATGTCTATATTTTGTTGCTGAATACATATTTGCACAATTCCCACAGTCTGTCTCCGTCTTAGTTTCAGACATAGTTCCTTTACAGACAGACAGACAGCCATCACGCCTTGGTCTTCCTTCTTCTTCTCCAGAAGTTGAAGGGACCCAGATTACTTTTGACATTTTGCAAATCGTTATCCTATCAGAAAAAACAAACAAACAATGTTTGATTAGACATTTTTACATAATTATATAGCAAATATTCTAATTTGTGGTACACATGTCCATCATGTAAGCTCTCAGGATGGTGCATTTAAAGTCTTTTCAGTTAATTTGCATCTATTGTACTTTATGTATGTTTGTTTGGTAACAATTAAAATCAACTAAACAAATGAGGCATTCCTGTTTGTTCAAATTATTTATAAAAACCATGCCCATTGCATCACAATTACACCAGTCATTTTAAACCGTGTGGCACCAAAAACTTTGAGGAAAGTTGCAAGGAAGTAAAAAAAAACAAAAAACCCCCAGAAACTTTTACCTGTGTTGATCCAATATATATATTTTTATATTATAGTCCCTATAAGTACTACATGTTTTTGTACTCCATAAAAAGATTTTTACTGCTTTTCTTTAAGCTTCGTACCCCAAAATTTGCTGTACCTTAGAATTCGATGAGTACACCTCTCATGAGTTTTCAGAGATTATTGTGTATTATTGTGTATTGTTTACACCCCTTTGCCCACTTTTATTCCCAGTTTTGTACACCATAGGTACCCAGTATTTACAAAAATAACCTACTTAAGAATATAACTACTTCTCCTTTTCTTTAAAATGCAAAATCACAATGAACACAGATCGTCTGTTGTTTATTTTAAGTCAAACCCAACACACCTGCTGCTGAAAATACTCCCTAAATATGTGTTAATCCACAGTTGAAACTAGTCCCCATCAAATGTACTATTTTCTCCAATTTGTGTCATTACAGTGCCCAGCTGTTTTAGGAAATTATTTAAAAATCCTTCAGTAGGAATGAATAGACTTGGGGCTGTGAGCCGCAGACAGGAGAGATAATTTTGGTCTTTTTGTGGATTTGTTGACAATAAGACAAATGTAGAATAACAGCAGTGTTTTCCTTTCACAAATACAAGGTAAAGAACTAGATTAAATGCAAAATACATTTAATTACCAGTAAGAACCGGTAAGAATTTATTAGTAAATATACAATGAAATTACATTGTCAATTGTGGGCTGTATTATAAAATGAGGCCCTAACTGATTTGATTTTATAGCCCTTTGCTTATGGCTCAGTATGTGTTATCAGTGGTTAGGGTCAATGTGACAGCTAGCGTATGTCAGAATTTGATCCAAGTGTAGATGGAAAGTGACTGGTGTCAATTATGTATCAATGTCCATTAGTGAATTAAGAAAAACAAGTGAAGACATCTTCAAAACATTCTGTATATGATCATCCGGAATGTGTCACCCATGTTGCCCAAAGATAGGATATCTCAGTGTGGCTGTGTGTAAAATTTGGCAGGGAAAAGCAGGAAAGGACAAACAATATTCTTGCTTCTTTTTAAAGTCAAGGCCCATGAAAATATATACGTAGAAATATAAACGTCATTAGATTCAATTTATTTTTGTTTGGATGAATTATTATGAAATACATGAAGCTAAAAGCTTATTTAAAGAATACTTTAAGCCATTTTTTGTATTTGTTTCATAAAAAAGCTTCTATAAATCATAAGAAAAAAACACCTTGTAAAGTTCCTGTAAAAGTGTTATAACATGCAACTTGCTCACTAAAATAATAAAATGTTTAGAACACTAAGGATAAGATAATGTCCATAATGCCCATAGTTACTTCTGATTATGGTACTGAACAATCCATGAACCTCTGGTTGTTACAGAGGCAAAATATATCTCATAACTGACCTGTTAAAAATAATTCACCATGATTGAAATAGCTAATGTAAATAAACAACAAGTGAAGCTTTTGTATAGTAAACTGCTGAAACAGGTGAAGTGAACAGGTGCTGGTCATGGTACAAACTTAAACAAGGGAGGAAAACACAATATAGCTGTACTTCCTGCTCAAAATATTTTCCTACTGCTTCAACCAACAATAGCTGATTGTATGTCAGAAAACGATGCTTTTGTGGCTGACCAATCAAAAGTTTAATTTTCCCATTTTACACTCCTCCAAGACACACCAAACAAAGCAACTGCATCTGAAGTTCAAGTTGAAGTTTAATTTTTTTTTGTGTGATTTCAACCATAAAAAATACTTAATTTCTTCAGGATCAGGACACACTATAAAGTGCACGTAGCAAAGTAAAAAGATGAAATTAAGATACATATAAGTGAGATGACTAACTTTATATGTGTCTGTTAAACTACTGTGAACCTCTTCGGAACTAAAAAACCTCTTGTAGTGAATCATCAGGTGGGAGTGCTTGTTCATCTGCAGATTATTTCCAGTTAAATTATGCCATTCTGATTTGGTCAGCTGCAGGGCTCTTTGACTGACTAATTGGTTGGTGGTTGCAGTCAGAAGTTTGTTTTATTTCTGCATTTATCATAGAGTGATGGTAGCCTATAAATCTGCTGCAGCAGCACAATCCGTCACACAAACAAAGGTCAGGGAAGGAGGAAGTTCCTAAACTGCCAAGGAGCTGTTATAATGTTGCCTTAAGAAAATGTTAACAGCATACCACACAGTCTGTTCTAGAGACAGACGACAGCAAGTGATAGTGGTGTTGACTGATGGATTTGTTGGAAGTGCCTGGCTCGGCACAAGTTAATACTAGTTGGCAGGTAATTGCTGCTGTAAGGATTATATATTTAACCCCTTAACTTACTGCTTTCATTGCACCTTAAGTAGAATTAAGGTTGGACAAATAACCTTATCCCACCCTGTCTGACAATATTAGTATTCAAAACCAAGACTGTTTGCATGCTTTTTAAGGTTGTGCCATTCTATCAAAAGGAAATATTCTGGATGTCTAGATGTCTGGAAATTTTAGTTTAATCCGCTAGAATTTGAAATACATTTCTGTGGGTACTTTGAACAAAGTTTGCCTGTCCGTATTTATCATATTATCAAGTTTAGGCTGCTAGAGCTTCAAAATGATCCAGCTTTATTATTTTGGATGTACAGGTGTTATAGTTGGGGAATCTAGTTCTTTACCTTGAATTTGTGAAAGGAAAACACTGCTGTTATTCTACATTTGTCTTATTGTCAACAAATCCCACAAAAAGACCAAAATCAACCTCTCTCCTGTCTGCGGCTCACAGCCCCAAGTCTATTCATTCCTACTGAATGATTTTTAAATAATTTTACAGCTGGGCACTGTAATGACACAAATGGGAGAAAATAGTAAATTTGATAGGGGCCTAGTTTCAACTGTGGATTAACACACATTTAGTGAGTATTTTCAGCAGCAGGTGTGTTGGGTTTGACTTAAAATAAACAACAGACGATCTGTGTTCATTGTGATGAAGAAACATGACACCCTGTGCAACAGTGTGGCTCACTGATGTTTTAATAGTTTTGACAATGGATCTTTATACAGCACAGAGGAATAATGCTGCACTCACATGGAGTCAGACAAACTGTAGACGGCAAACCGGGTGTCATGCAAATTCTAATATTTGAACGTTTTGCTGTTCTCTGCGATGGTATTAAGCTGGTATTAATGCCCGATGTTACATAGCTCCCTCACACAAGGAGAAAATATGTACAATCTGGACAACGACACAACGAATAATGAATAAATTACATAAAATAATATTCACAAAATATTTTTATTTAATATATCTATTCCAGACTTTACCATAACAACATGTTGTCGTGCGTGTTTCGTTTTGCCGTCCTGCCATTCTGTCAGACGGTTTGTTTGTTTTTACTGGGAGGAAGGTGCCATCCCTCTGACATCTACCTGAATCAAGGTGAATGCAGCATATATTACATAATAAGATATATTATCTTTGGCTAACAATATAGTAGATTCAATTGAGTTTTGGTCAGGGAATTTATTAATAATTCAAAAAAATATAGAATATAGCCAGCATTATCTTTTAAATCTATCCATCAGGAGATGAAAATAAAATGGGGTTTATCATGAGAGGAGTCCCTAAAATGCTCATAGATTGTCTCAGGAAAAGGTGTGGCTCAGATACCAAACGCATAACTTCCTCCCATGAAGATGAGATGGCACCAAACAACACCTAACATGTAAAACCCACACAAGAGAGGACTGTGGAGGGACAGGAGGGAAGGGGAGTTGTGTGTGTGTGTGTGTGTGTGTGTGTGTGTGTGTGTGTGTGTGTGTGTGTGTGTGTGTGTGTGTCCACGTGATAAGATGCAGAGGGAAACATAGAGAGATATCTCTGGTGCTTTCCATCTGGCAACTATTGACACGTGCTCATTTTATTAACACCACATTGAGTCACTTCAGACTGACGATTAGCAAGAGTTTTATTTTTTTTATAGTTGTGAAACGACAGAAATGTACATGTGAGATTACTTCCCCTAAAGATACATACACACCACAGTAACCACCGGCAGGGTAAAATCAAGCCGGCTTGGTATTTCCCTAGGTTTTTCACTCTTGTGACACTGACTAATATCACTCAAAAAACAATTGAAACTGCGTTTAATACTTTAATTTCACACATTGCAAATTGTAACTACAACCAGGAATATGCAATGTGCTATATAACACATTTACTCTTATTAAACTAAAGGCGATTCTAAGTTTTAGATGATTTCACACAAGCATTGCTGCCATGTCCTGTGAGTTTGAATGGGCATCAAAATCCATGCCTGCAACCCTGCTAGTGGTTTTAAATGTGCCATAAGCAGCAAAGAGTGCCACATAAGTATTATGTGTGTGTGTGCTTGCCCAGCTTGCAAAGTGGTATTGATTCAGCACATAATAAGCTTTTACTTTAGATTTTTTTTTTTTTGTAAACAATACAAAATTACATTTCTTAACTCTTCTTATATCTCTTTGGAAAGTTGAATCCAAATCCACCAGAATTTAAAATACATTTCTGTGAGTACTTTGAACAAAATTTGCCTGTACGTATTTATCATATTATCAAGTTTAGGCTGCTAGAGCTTCAAAATGATCCAGCTTTATTATTGTAGATGTACAGGTGTTATAGTTGGGGAATCTAGTTCTTTACCTT